AAAAGTTAAACCCCCCCCCCCCCCAATATAACTATTATAACGCCAAAAACCTCTGCACCCCCATCCCCATTAAAAATCCACCCACTGCTGTTCTTTACAAACCTTTACAAAAATCACATCCCATGGATATCAAATTACTGCACCTGTGTCAGAAAAATTTTCCTAGTATCCTAGAACAGTGGTTCTTAAACAAGGGTGAAAGTGCAGAAGACACAGAAAATAAATTTCATTTGCTACCATTGCTTGTACTTGTTTCTCCCAGCAGTAAATGTTTTTTGTTCTGGTGAATTTTATTTGTGCATTACTGTTATTAGGTAGTTCGGTAAGATTCGGGAAGTGCCAAAAACCGGGTATCGTGATTTCGATGTCAAAATGGCGACCTCCACTTTTTAATTTACCGAGAGTCATGTTGTTTACGACTTTTTAACTATATATAGCCCAGCATGTTAATTCTATTTCCGCCCACAACTTAGAGTAGACATGTTGTGTTATGATTAGACACTTGAGTCGCCCAAAAAATTTTGGGGCTTCACTTTGAAAATTGAAAGTAAAATAACGCAATTTTTACTCATTCATATTTTTTTTGTGGAAAGGATTCTTTCTTTGAATTTCTGGTACTTTATAAATAATGGCATTAACTACTACATATCCAAGACATGCTAATTTAGGCCCAACCGGTGGTCAGAAATTTACTCCGAAATTTTTAATCACGTGTGTCCCAAAATTACCTATTATCATTAATATTCGTTGCTATGGTAAATAACCTGATTTACTCTGGAAATCCGACCTATTACCTCCTAATAATTCATTTAAAAATAAAAATAAAATAATTAATAAAACAATCACATACTTTTAATATGATTTGATGCTTTTATTGAGGGATATTAGGTTAAAAAAGCCTAATTAATTACAATTAATAGTTAACTATTAGTTTTATATACTGTTATATGTATACTATTAACTATATATATATATATATATATACACACTATATATACATATATAATATATATGTATATTTGTATATATAGAGGCCTAGAATAGTATTACTATTATAAGTGTAGGCCTATCAACCCCCCCCCCCCCCCCCCCCAAAAAAAATATTATATAGTGATTCTTAAGGCATAAATTAAGTAAAAATGTACAAAAAATATTCACTTACCTTTGGTATTGAAATATCCTATATTTAATCACATATCACACTATTCCAAAAGAGAATTATTATATAATCCTCAGTATTCTCAAAGAAAAAACACACTTTCTGCCATAATAATCCAAGAATTACATGAGATATTACTAAAATTTAATAATAAAACATTGTAATTACCTCAAGCAAATAACTAGAACTTATTTAAAATTCGATCAACAGCCAAAATTGATTCTAACAATAAATGTTGATCTGTGAAACAACTTTACTAACTTAAAATAAATGACTTACTATTTTTTGTCATATTCACACATTCATATGGTATAGGACTAAAATACATTATATAGAAAATGGTAAAATAAAAAGTGTAATAGTCAATTTTAATTTATTGAAACAAATAATCTCTTTATTATTAGTATATACTTATTAATTTTAAACAGTTCCACAGAAAATTTGAAATTAATATCTTAAGAATGTTTTATTATTATTATGATTTTTGGGAAATGGAAAAAAAATATTTATGCATAATTAATTAATTACAAATAAGTGACGAGTCAGCATATTTTATATATTTTTTAATAGGAAAATAATAAAGATTTTTTTAATAATTTTTGCGGAATATTAACAAAAACTAACTTATATTTTGTGGTTTTATTTCGAATTACTCTAATTAAAATACGTTCCCTGTAAATATTATATTTTTGTGTCATTTTATAATAAAGTTATAGGCCTTAAAAAAAAATCAAAATGAGGGTCATGAAATGTGGAGGAAAATCCCATAGTAAAAAAGTGCCTTTGAGGTCCCTACTAAAAAATTCATAACTTTTGAACCACTTGAGCTAGAAAGTTGATCTTGGTGTTTTTGTAATCTATTCTCCGGGCTCTATACAGAATACAGCTGTAGTATTTTTATATTTTTAAAAATGTTTTGAAATTTTAATCAAAGTGCCTACTGTTATTAATATTGATAATATTTTTCTTGTTATCTAGAAAGTTAATTTAACAAATAAAACTAAAATAAATTAATTAATTATTTTATTAATACTTTATTAATAAAGTTTTATTGGGGGTACTATTCAATTATACGGGGGAGGGGGAATGTTTAGAATATGACAGGGGATGTAAATGTAGCACTGAAAAATCTAAGAATCCCTGGCCTAGATCATTTACTAAAATTGCCCCCCCAAACCAGTCCAACATTTTTCCTTTCACTGCCCCGATTCTATAATTCCCATTGCCATATTTCAACAAAAATTCTGAGGACTGTCAAAGTCACTGCACCCAGATTCTCCTCCGTGACATACTGTAACTTGATCAGATGACATTTCTCGGACCTCGCATACCTGCAATGATTCTCTCAGTAATTGTAGTTTCAAAATAAAATAATTAAAACGTTTGTATACAAGAATAATGTAAAAAAATGTCTGTAATTTAGTGTTATTAGGGGCATTTTTTACTATAATGTTCCGCTTTTAATGTGACATCACATTTCTTTAACCCCCCCCCCCTTATTCGTCACACATCATAACAAAAATGTGACACCCCTCAGACGTGTGACATCATTTATGGATGGCCCCTTAATGAAATTAATCATTGTTCAATTATTTTATAGTCTTGAACTGTACTGGTTACAACTGAAACTCAACTAACTAGGGCACATGTCCAAAAACCAGTACGTCGTACTAGCACTGGTTAAAACTGTACATATTTGAATGGTCACCTTACATTTTAATACATTGCACACAAACTAATAAAAAAAAGTCATGGCAGATAATTAGTAATTAGCCTAGAATCTATAAATTAAATGCTGGACTTTACTTTTGTTTAACTTGAACTTAATAATAGTTTTTTTTTGTGACTGTGAATCTGCATTTTTCCCTCATTTCCCCTTAAACTTAAATGTAAATTTTAAATGTTTTAGTTAACCACCTCCCAATGTGAGATGGACTACCTAATTTAAATAATTCCCCACACCCATACTCTCCTCTTACCTTCTGCAAATTCACTCTCCACCACTTTCTTCATCCTCATACTCCTTTACATTATAATTATACCACTAACTCTTCTCCACCCTTTGTCCTTCCTTATGCTTTTCCTCAGAATTAAACCTCTACCATGTTCCCTAAACTCTCCCTCAAATTTCCATCTTTCAAATACCTTTCTCTACCTTCTCCCAGATCTCCCTACCCTTAACTATCCATATCCCCCCCGCCCATACACCCTTATGCTCTTTCCAGGATCTTCAACTTTCTATGACAATGCCCTTAACTCCTACCTCACCCCTTAATCTCTCCTCCCCTAAACATTTAATGACTGCATAACTGATTATGATGATGAATTTCCTCTTTTTCATAATCTAGTACTTTACCAGTGATTAATTAAAGAGTATACTTTTTTTTTATTCAACAGACATTCTAGTATGTGCTCAGCTGCTGCTAGATGGAGAGAGCATTTGGGGATGGCTGATGGTAACACTTATTGCTGTACCAGCAGTTCTAATGAGCTCTTTCAGTTTAGCTTGGCATGTACATGACAAAACAGTGACTCCTTTAGTGCTGATCTCACATCTGTTCTTACTAGCACCAGTCCATAGGTAAAGTTGTAGATTAGTTTTTACTATTTTACCATTAAAAAATAATGAACTGGACACACAAATTAAAGACCTGGGAAAGAAAACAACTCTTAAAACCTACATCAATTTTCCAGAAAATAATGAATTATACTAATCATTTGATTGATTTTCTTTCATTATATATTGTGCAATTATGTTTTTCTGATTATTTAAAATTATTTCACTCAATCTTTTGTTATTTAATTTTTTCATTGTTAGATTAATTTTCTTTTGTATGAAATTTATCCTACTTGAGCGCTACTGGGTACATTATTGTCTAGTAGTTTTGACTATTTTTCACCTTTTACTTTCAAAATCTGTAATTTTAAAATATTTTTTCCCTGCAGGTACATAAAAGTGATTTGTAGTGGCATTAATTCCTTCAGAACTAGAAAAGCTTCTTTAACCCAATATGCCTTCAGGGAACAAAGTGATGCTTCAA